ATTGATTTTTTTTACAGAGAGGAAATGAGAGGAATAGAGGTTAGAAACATCGATGAGAGAGAAACATCCATCAGCTGCCTCCTGCACTCCCCTCCCCATTGAGGATGTGCCCGCAACCAAGGTACATGCCCTCGACCTGAATTGAACCTGGTACCCTTCAATCCGCAGGCCTATGCTCTGTCCACTGAGCAAAACCGGCTACAGCTGGTTTTGCCTTTTTAAAGGTATTTTTGCCTTGCAGGTTTTAAAAAATATAATTGAATATATAAAACTTTTCTATAACGTCTGGGTTTTGTGTCATTCTTGGAAAGCTTCGTCACTTCAAGATTTAAAAGCAAACAAACAAACAAACAAACAACTCCCCATATTTTCTTCTAGTACTTTTATGGTTTCATTTTTCATTAAAAATTTTTTGGTCCATCTGGAATTTATTTTTGTGTAAAGTGTGAGGTATTGTATTTAGTTGTTCCAAAGCATTTATTGAGTAGTCCATCATTACCTCTCTACTTTGAAATGCTACCTTTAAAAATGTGGTTAAAAAACACATAATATAAAATTTACCATCTTTACCATTTTAATTGTATAGTTCAGTAGTATTAAGTTATTCACATTGCTGTGCAATAGATCTCTAAAATTTATCTTGCAAAATGAAACTCTATATTTAGTGAACAGTAACTCCCCATTGAAATGCTGCCCTTTCATCATAGTCTAGTGTCTGGTCTTTTTTACTTCTTGCCTAAATCACTGTAACAGCTTTCTAGCATCACCATAATTCCAATCTGCCATGCACACTATAGTGTGGTTTATTTTCCTCATGCAAGTTCTGACCACGATTCCATTATTCAAAACCTTCAGAAGCCCTCCGTGATATATTGCAATTGAAATTAAGTCCCTCATTACTCTCTTTCATAGCACCTTTACCTTTTCTTCGTCTCTCTTTTCATAATTTGTAATTGTAATTAACTGCATGATATTTGACTGTTGTCTATATCCTGGCTAAACTTCAAGTTTCATGAGAGAAAGGGCAATGTGTTCGCCACATATTTGTAGTGCTTAGTGTGCACCTGGTACTTAGTAGGTACTCAGTCCATGTTTGAGGAATGATAGGTTCCCCTTGTCCTATGGGATAAAGTAGAAACAATGCAAGATCTGATTCAAATTTAATTTTCTCTCAGCCCTCTGCCCTTCAAGGAAATTAAGCTGCTGGATTTCCCACCCTTCCCTGACAAAGCCATGGGCTTTCTAATGCTTGGCTCTGATTTACAGCATGGCCTGATCTTTTCATTTGTGCCATGTCCTCCCCTCAGTTCCTCACTAACATTGCTGCCTTGTGGAAATCCAATTTATCCTTCAAGAATATTGTTGTTTCCACCACTGGACTGTGAGTTCCTTGGGACCAGAGACAGAGTCCCTTGATTTGCCCCTAGGGAGCAGCACAGTTACTAGTCTCTAGCAGGTGCTCTTGGTTACACATTTTCATCTGCGCCTAGGCTATAGGTTCTTTGAGGGCTCTTTATCTGTGTGCATCTGGGAACCTTGCTTCCTAGCCCCCCGGGAGAGACTTGGAGTTGGCTTCAGAAATATTCTGGTAACCTACTGAACCTGTCTAGTTATATTGTGAGAGGACTGAATATGACATGGTGTGGCAGGAGCAGAGGTTTCCCTGCCTTTTCCCCACTGTGCCCTGTGACATTCTGGTTCCTTCTACAATAAAAAAATTACTGCCCCACACTCCTCACCTGAGTTCAGCTTGAAGATTACTCCCTGCCTCTCTCTCCCTCCAAGCCCTCTGGCAAAGAGGCTGCTCAGTTGGCTACACTTCCAGGCCCTGGCACCAGGAGGCAGGATTGCCATGCCCAAGATCTTGTTCTCCCTCCTTCAGAAGCACCTTCTCTGGGGATGTCCAGGCAATTCCCCACCACCACCTGCTTCCCAGCTGTACTCCTGTCACCTCATGATTCCTAGGCAGCCCCTCCCCCTCAGAGGCAGTGACCACTGGCTTGGGCTTCTTCCTCCTCACCCTAAAGGCTGCTGACACCCCAGGGGCTTCAGAGGTCAGGGTTGGCAAACAGCCCAGCCTGCTGACCTGTTTTGTTTGTCCAGAATCATGTTCTTGTGAAGGCCCCAGAAGAGGAGGGACCCGGAACCCTCCAGCCTTTTAGGGTCTAGGCTCCTTCCACATCCTGCCATTCTGCTTTAGACCACACTCTTGAGTCCACCCCTGCCCTGTCAATAGACTGTCCAGATTCTGAAACCCACATGCTGACCACAGCTTCCCTCCTTTCTCTTCATTTCCTGTCTCCCCCAATCCTGACCTCTTCCCTGCATACAGACCTCCAGGCCCATTGGCCCCCTGGTTCTCCCCACTTTCTCCCAGTCTTCTATTTTTTCTTCCTCCTTTCCTTTCCTTTCCTTTCCTTTCCTTTCCTTTCCTTTCCTTTCCTTTCCTTTCCTTTCCTTTCCTTTCCTTTCCTTTCCTTTCCTTTCCTTTCCTTTCCTTTCCTTTCCTTTCCTTTCCTTTCCTTTCCTTTCCTTTCCTTTCCTTTCCTTTCCTTTCCTTTCCTTTCCTTCCTTTCCTTTCCTTTCCTTTCCTTTCCTTTCCTTTCCTTTCCTTTCCTTTCCTTTCCTTTCCTTTCCTTTCCTACTTTTCGAGAAAGAGGCCTGTATTTGATTTACAACTACCGTAACATGATTTACAAAAGGAGTGGGGGTGTCCTAGCCGCGCTCCTCCCTGCCACCCCAGACCAGGCGGGGCCTCCAGGACAGCCCGTCTGACAGGCGGAGGCCAGGACCTCCTCTGCCGGGTCCCCTCTGGCCGCAGGGCCTCGACGACGTCTGACATCCAGCGTGACCTTGGAGGTGAGGCCGGGGCGCAGAGTTCACCCAAGTGCTGGTGCCCCAGGCACGGGCCAGGCGAGGTCAGGAAAGCATCCTATGGTTTTTCTCCTCCCGTCAGGGCGGACACACAGTCTGGGCTCGAGGCCCTGGGGACTGCAGGCACTCAGACCCCCCGAAGAGGCCAGACCCTCACCAGGCGGCTGCTGGTGCTCAGGAAGGAGGGGGGGGGGCGGGGCGAGGCCCTGTGGCCCCTGGTCAAGCGGGGTGGCGCTAGGGTGAAAGGCACATTTGTGAATAGCTCAGGAGATGCCATGCGGAGACAGCGCCCACTGCTGGTTCCTCTTCGTTTTCTTACCTCTGCCCCACTAGCCCCTCAGTACCCTATGTCTCCACCTCAGAACCTTATGTCTCCGTTTGCAGGGTCAGATAAATCTAACCATCTACTGTCAGTGGGATAATCTTAAAGATCAAAGTTGGTTAATTCTTTGGTTTCCTACAAACTTCCAGAGATTCTCCACAAGCTACTTGGTTGGTGGTACTAAAGATAAAGGCTTGCTCCTCACTTGGTTTAAAACAGAAAAATTCTGTTTTTTAGTCATTGCAGCCCCTTTCATGAACCCGTGCCTGCACAACAGCTTTCCCCCTTACTCATTCTTTCCTTGGCTCTAGTCTTATTTTTAAACCATATTGTTTCTGTAGGTACATATGTCTTTGTATAAAGGCACAGAGCAAGACCAGCGAGGATACACCACAAACAGATAAACATTTGCTACCTCTGTGCAGGGCCAGAGGTGATCAAGATTGAGGGAGAGACTGGGTCAAAGGGTTTAACCTTATCTGTAAAGTTTCTGCTTTTCAAAAAGAGATTGTCTCATGTATTTACTACTTGTGAGAAATTAAAAACAAACAAATGAACCAGCTTAGTACCAGGAAGCCTTCATCATACTTCCAGGCAGAGGGAGCTGCTTCCTTTTCTGGACTTGAACAGCACCTTCCGCAAATGTTATAGGCAATGCTGTGTTTGTCTTTCTCCTTCTAGATGGGGAATCCCCTCAAAGGTACACACTTTATAAAATCCATGCTCCCATGCCTAACAGAGTGCCTGGCCCAGAGCAGGTGCTCAGTGAGTGCCAAACCCAATGCATTGCTTGGCTGGCTCAGCGAGTGCCAAACCCAGCTGTCTCCTTTGAAAGTGCTTGCTGTGGGACAGGCCTCATGCTAGTCCTGAGCTGTTTCGAATAAGTTCCACAATGTCCAAGGAAGGATACCTCCAGGAATCTGAAATGTGGATAGATAAGACCTTTGGGTTACATCAACACAAGGATGAGGTTGAACTGCCTGCCCCCCAAGGCCAGGATCCAGTTCAGTACTACTGTCTTGTCACTTGGTAAGCTTCTGAAGCCACAGCCTCTTCAGTAGTTAATTTAAGGGCAAAGGTATCCCCAAAAGTTGAACTTTTCAAGTCCAGCCCTGATTTGTATCTCTAAGACAGAGAGGAAAGGCCTAATAAACAGGCTGTTCCTACACGTGGTGGGCCAGGGAGGCCAGAGCCAGGAGATCCTCAGACCAGGCTTTAAGGGAGACCCTGAGCAATTGTCCAAAGGGCTTGAAGAAGGCATCAGGATTTCAATCTGTAGCTTTTGTAATTTTCCAGAGAAATTTGAGCTCTCAGGTCATAGGATCCTATTTAGGGCCTATCTACTGCTCAAAGGTAAAAGGGCAAAGCCTTAATGGGTCAATTGGATTGGAGCTAGAGCTTAGGTGGGGATGGCTTTTAGGGTTGGTCAAGTGTGTGTCATGTGGCCAGGGTAACCCTTTAGATTTGAATGTGCAAGTGGTGAGGAGACTGAGGAAGGGCCTGGATCAGTCTTTCTTGTGAGAATGCCTCCAACCAGCCCCTGTATTTAACTTTGAATAGGACAGTGTTCCTGGGGGTTTAGGGCAATGATACTAAGTACTTGGGCTCCTGAAAAGATAACGGCAGTAACAGTGGCAACAGAAATTTGGTAAGCAGTCCCCTACCACCCCCCACCCCTCATTCCTCCCATCCCACCCAGCTCCCTCCCAGCTATCCATACACACCCCACCACAGGCCTCAGAATTGCTGAAAGGACACCAGACCATGCAACACACTTTTAGACCTCAATGAAGAACACCTCCAGTTAGTCCAACTCTCTGTAAGTAACTTTTATTTTTATTTACAACAGAAGTGGTGGCTTTATTCCTTCATGTTTAGGGACAGTTGGCATCAGCAGCCAGACGGAAAGTCTGCAGTGAAGTCAAATTCATTCTGCCCCAGCCACAGCTCTGGAAGCTCATTAGCCCGGTCCAGTCCCAGTTCCACCACCAGTGACATCAGCACCTCCTCATCCACTGGATCCGAATCAATGATAGCAGGACTCTGGGCACCAGCAGGAGGAGAGAGTGACCCTGTCCCTCCCATCTGAGCCCCAAAGCCCCAGTTTTGCAGGGGCCCTGTCTCCCCTGGTTGGCCCGGAGTGGCTGAAGCCATTCCATGATACTGGCTATTAAGTTTCTGCAGCTGCATACTGGCCAGCAGGTGAGGGGCAGGGTGCAGATTGAAGGGTGAGGGTTTAGTGGGAGGGGTGGTGGTAGGAGAGCCTATTGGAGTTGGAGATCCAGAGGAACTAGTGGGAACCCCACTGGCCTTGGTTCCATTCGAGGCTACCCCGGGGTAGTGCAGAGTGGCTACTGCTTTGCGATCTTTCACCCCCAGGTTAGAGTAGGCTAGAGAGCTCATCTCTTGGTTGGCATCCTAGAAGACAAGAAAGGTGCAACATCACAGCAGGACCAGAAAACTCCTACATGCACTTCATTTGGGGTTAGGGGTGAGGAGGTAGCAAGAAGATCCCCTGCAAAGTTAAGCTTCTAGCCTGGGGATCCTCTTGAGCTCAGTGTTCAGAGTCACATGCTCTTGCAGGGCACCTGCCCTCCTAAGTGGGTTTGCTGCTTTCATCTCCCTCCCTCCACCTCATCCTTCTAAGGACATCTCATTGTCCCTCTTATCAGCCTCACATTAATCTCTTCAATGGTGTTGGCTTATTCCAATTCTACTTCTCTGCTCCCTACCTTGACATCTTTCAACAACCTGAGTGGGTTTGGTTTGACCACATTTAGGCAGAAGCTATCCTCATTCTCCCCAGAGAAAGCCTTGTTGTCTCCTTTCTGCTAAAGGACACTAGGCGCCACACCTAGGAGGGCCTATAGACATGGCCCCAGACCAGTTTATCTTTCCATGTCTAACTGTCTCCACTTGTAAAATGGCAAAAGTTACCTCCTTCACAGGTGAGGTGCCACCCTTGACATCAAGTGCAGGTCTCGACATCGTTGGCATTTCAGAGCCTCAGCAGAAGTTGGATAAATTGGTAGGAGGTGATGCTGCCAGCCGGAGCTGTTGTGTTGTATGTGATGGAGAAAACGTAAGAGAAGGGCAAAGGCTTCATTAGCCAAGAAAGCACTAGCAAAGCCCAAAGCAGGGCAATTACATACAGCTATAAGGAAAGGATGGTGACAGGGTTAGAGCCAAGACCAGAGACCACGTGACCAAGAGAGAAGCTCAAGCCGGAACTTTGTTTGCTTGATCAGCCAGGTGTTGCCCAGGTAGCCGGCTACCCACATCATCAAGAGGGTACACAATGACCGCTTCCTCATGCCAGTGATTTCAAAGCCCAAAGTGTGTGTGTGTGGTGGTATGGCGTTATTCCTGATTCTGAAGGTATAAATATCCCTGAGTAAGTAGCACACTGTCTTCATGGGTCACTGGCTTCTGAGCTGGGGCCTCCACTGGGACTGAGAAAAAGTGGGAAAGAGTCAGGGCAAGGAAGACCTAGAAAGCTGCAGGCTGTAGCCCAGGGAAGGAATCAGTCCCCAACGCGAATGCCATGGAACTCCAAAGCCCTGACTTAGATATACGGTAGGTGTGAGAAAACCCAGGCTGACAAAGGTGGGCTGGGGGCTCTGACATGTCCAGAGAGCAGCAAGGAATGTTTCAATTTTCTCTCTGCCTCAAGCCCCCTCCAAGACAGCCCAGGCAGCATAATACTTTCCCAGGACACCTGGTCTGAGCCCAGCCACACCCATCTATAGTGATAGACCGGAATACTTCTTCCTGGAGGGAAACAGGAACAGAGATTCAATGGCTTTCCTATCAAGCGGCAGTGGTTCTGAGAGCAGGAGCTAGCACTCTTCTGTCCACAGGCCTCGCCTGACCACTGAATCATATCTAGAATAACTCAAACAGTTGCTGAAGAAATAATACCATAGCTCAAGTGCTGAAGGATAAGGGGATGAGGGAAAAATAATTCCCTCAAGTCAGAAAACAAAAAGATTTCCTTACCTGAAAACTCTCAAGTATTTTCCTAGAAGCTTGTTTTTAAGCGTTATCTATTCTAGCCTTCATGATGAATCAGAGATGTTGAAGAATTTTGTATTTATTGTATAAATACCCTTTGCCCCAAAGAATCTCCTACACCTTAAAAAGCTACCTAATCTTTCAAACAAGCCTAGAATTCTCCTTGACATTTCCCTCCCCCAGTGGTCATTAAGAATCTGCTCAGACACTTCTCTTTGTTGTCTTTGCACCACTTGTAGGGTAGGGGGACAAGAAAATAGAGAAAGGAAAAAGTCAGGGAGAAAACATGAGGAAAAAAAAAGAAAAACAGTTGCTGGGTCATCACTACCACTGCTTGAATGGAAGCTTGTTTCTTCTCCAAGGCAGTGATCACAAGACGAGGAGACTAATCCATGTCATCTTCCAGAGCGAGCCCAGCATCAAAAAAAGTGGGGAGGGGAAAAAAGATATAGAATAAAAGAAAGAGCCAGAAAAAAAAAAGTGTTTTAATATCAGTTCTTGAGGAAGACCCTTTTGCCATATCCCCCTCTTCAGGCCATGAACTCCTCTAAACCTGACCCTGTTTCCATTCAGATCTGTGTCTCTCTGGCTGCTCTCTCAGCCCCAACCCCCAAACTACCTGACAGCTTCCCCCCATTCCGCCCCCCCTCCCGCCCCGCGTTCCTCGCCTGGGTCTGTGCTCCGTAGGCACTCAGTAAGTGTCGAATCCGCTTTTCGATGGGAGTTCCTGCCCCTGCTGGCCTGATTTTCTGTCACCACATTGCCACCCAGCCCGCTCGAAGGCAAAACTTGGCAGCTCCGAAACGACCCAGCCTGCTCCCCAAGCCGAGAGCTGACCACTGTGAAATGGCTGCTAGAGGCGGCCCCCGACCCAGCCTGCTCCCCAAGCCGAGAGCTGCCCACTGTGAAGCGGCTGCTAGAGGCGGCCCAGGCAACCCAGAGCAACAAGTGCCTCCACACGCGCTGCCTGTGCCTGGAGCCTCTGACTACCAGTTCCCGCCCGCCCTTCTCTTCAGACCTTCCCTTGGTCCCACAGCCCCTCCCACCTAGATGGGGGTGGGTAGAGGAGAGGAAAGAAGGGGGAGGCAAAGCAGGTAGGGGGCCCTCATCTTTGACCTGTCCGGGGACCAAAAGTTAAAAAAGTGGCACCAACTGGATGGCTCCATCTCGATTGCTATTTTCTCAGGAAAAATTAAAAAACCCAGACAGTACTGCGGCTCATCTCAGACACGCTCTAACCCAGACCGGTCCCTTTAGCCACCTGAAAACTAAAGGCCCTTGTTTGTGGACAGTTCGGCTGCCCTCCTCGAGAGACTTCCCATGTGGAGCCGCCCGGAGCTGGGGAAGACTTGGGACATCCCTGCAAGGAGGGCACGAGCACGTAGTTCATCAGGGCCCCGAACTTTCGTCCCCGCAAGTGCTATGTGCAGACCGCCCCGACAGGCGGGCAGTGGCGCGGGCTCCGGGTCCCCACAGCGAGTCTGCGGCCCTGCGGTGCGGCCGCGCGCGGGGACGCGTTCTGGCACCGGCGGCGACCGCTCCCGCGCCTCCCCAACACCCCCTGAGCGCCCGCTGAGGGGCCGCAGGCTGAGCTCCCCCCTTCGCCACGCCGCCTTCCTCAGTGCTCTAACCCCGCTCCCAGAAGAGTCAGAGAGGCTCGGAGAGGAGAGGGTCCGTAACTTGCCCAAGGTCACAGCTAGAAAGTAGCGGAGCCTGGAGTCGCAGCCACGTCTCTCAGACTCCAAGTCCGATGCTCGGCTCCGCAGGGACTCCGTGTGCCGCCTGCCCCGCGGCGCTCGCTTATAAGGAGAGGGGTGTGTGCGTGGGTGTGCGTGGCCGTGTGGGCGTGCGCGTGGGAGAGAGCGGAGGTCGGCTGGGTAGCAGGGGCAAGTTGCCCACATTCGCTAACTTCCGTCCAGCAATCCCCCTGAACTCGGCCCGAAAAGCCCCTCTCGCCCGCCCCCAGCCCCCAAAGGAAACCTGAGCTTTGTGCAGCCCCCAAGCCCGAGCGGCCAGATGCTGGGCGATGAGCGAAGTCGGTGGAAGCGCCGCCGGAGAAAGCGCGGGCGCAGCGGCAAAAGGTGCCTCCGGGCTCCCCTCAGGAAGCGGGCGCCCTGCGCAGCGGGCCGGCCGTTGGGAGAGCTGGCAAGCCCACCGGCTCGCTGGCGGGCAGGCGGGCGGCAGCCCCTCCGCCCCCAGTGGAGCAGTTTCCGAACAGAAAACAAACAAACAAAAACACCCCCCCCCCCCCCCCAAAAAAAAAAAAAAAAAAACCAATCTCACAAAACAAAACAAAAAAACTCCCCCAGATCCCCGGGCCCGCCCGGCTGCCACACGCTCCTCGCGCCCGCTGGGCTGGAGTCCCTTGGCCCCACCGCCCAACCCGGCGTCCTGCTGGGCGGCCAGCGTTACCTCAGCGGAGCCGCCCGCCTCAGAGACGAAAGCGCGGAGCTGGGCGAGCTGAGTGCGAAGCGGCGGCACCCCAGGCCCCCGGCACGCACGCCGCCACCGCGAGCCGGTGGCGCTGGGCGCCACCCGACCTCGGGGAGCCTGGGAAAAGCCCGCACCGCCGCGCAGCCGCTGCGCCGCACCGCGCCCGCCCGCCGGCCGCTTCGGCGGCGCCGGACTCCGGGGCGATGGCGGTGGCGGCCACCGCGCTCCGTTCTTGGCGCCGGGGACAGGCTCTCAAGCCCCCATTGCCGCCCAGAGAGCCCTGACGCACACGCACAAGACAGAAGGTTGGCCTCGGCTAGAAATCTCAGGAAAGACAGACCCTTTCCCCCCCTTTTTCTTCTCCCCCTCAATTTCCACGTCTTTATAACCGGCTTAGAGCATTATTAGCACATGTACTGGCTCGTGGGCCAGTTGGTGGCAAAATCTGAACTGGATACTCACTCAGGGCCAGAGCTGGTACTGTGCCTACCTTACGCCTTCTTCCTCCTCACCGGGAACAACTCCTCAGCCCGTGGGCTGCGGGCGGGCTGTGGGCGCAGGGAACAGCCTGCCCGGTGGAGTGAGCGGCCCCTGGGGCAGCTCAGCGGTTCCCCTGCTGCAGCCCTGGAACATTTTATAGCAGCGGCTAACGTGTGTGGCCCTTTAAAGGCGCTCGAGCTGGTGCAGTCGCCACGGATCTTGTGAAAGCGAAGGGCCGGCTGGGGAACGGAGTCCGAGCGGCCCCACGGGTCTGGCAGCGCTGGGAACCCGCCACGGCGCTGGGGTGGGGCTGGCGGACCCAGGCCACGGTCACCCGGAGCCCAGCCTGGAGCCCTCGGTTTTATGCCAGTGCTTCTGAAGCTGGTGGGGCTCGGCCGGGGACATCGTCTCTCCCCAACGCCCTGCATGGACTTGTCCAATAAATTGCACTTAATTTTGCTAAGGTGAAGGAGAGCTGTTAGTGTCTGTTTTCTGACCTAAATCTAGCGGGTGACCTGAGAGAGCCTATGGACTCAGGCAGTGACCCTGAGCAGGGGGTGTATAAGGGACAGTCCTGGGGAGCGGGAGGTACGATTTGGGTTTTCTGCAGGGCTTTTTCAGAGCTTGTCTGTCCCTTTGGGCTGAATCATTTCCCTTGTCGAAGGGACAAAGCCGGGGTCCCCTTTCCTCTTAAAGTCTCCAGATCCAGGCAGAACCTCATTGAGGGCCTAGCTGCAGGCAGTAGTGGCTTCCCTCGAAGGTCTGAGCCAGGTATTCTTTTTTGTGGTTATACAGATGAGACGGAGGCTGTTGGGATGCTACGCAGAAATATACTGCCTTCCTGGATGAGGTGCCACTCAAGAGGCATGCCAAAGACCAGAAATGGGAAACAGGGAACGAAGAGCTTGCCCCTGGGCTGTCGGGATTTCTCCTGTCGTCCCAGGATGCCAGGTTATTTTTATTATGATTATACAATCATTTCCATCTAGCAAGAATAATACTTGGCATTCGGAGCACATGTTTCTCAGGTTGGGATGTTATTTTAAAAATCTATTGGAAAGAGGTCCAGTATTCTCCTTCATCTCAGTTCGTATTCCTTGCAGCTAAGAAGTTCCTCACATCTTACAGGAAGGCCACCAGGATTACCCCTCTACCACACTCCCTATTTTTAACCTCTTTTAGAAACAACTACTCAGTTTACACTGTTGGTTTATAAAATAACTTTTTTTTAAGTCCCAAATGTTAACAAAAACAGGGAGTGGGGGGAGGGAATATTATCAAGGCACATTCACTATGTGTGTTCTATCTTCTTAATTAGATTTGAATATCTAAAGGTCTTTTTCTCCCTCTCCCCCTCCCCCTCCCCTTTTTCTTTTCCTTCTTTCATCCCCAAGTGCCTTGCATTTGCTATTGGAACAAAGTTCTGTTTGCTGATGGACTGACTGGCTTACTGACACAAAAATGGGCAGCAAAACAGAGGGGACAGGTCAAGGCCCTTTCTTGATACGTAGAGGAAGTTGGGGCGAATTCTCTGGGCACCAGGTAAACCCATTTTCCAGCCCCCAAAGCTGCTTTGCGTGTTTCCTTTCCTTAGCCTCACCCACTCCCAACACAAATCCCAGTAGCAAATATGCCATTGCTGCAGTTTCTCACTTTACCCAAAGATCATGAGTTGTACCCAGTTTCCCTCTGATAAAAGGTGGGACTTGTCAGGACCATAAAACTCTACCAAGTTTTGACTGTAAAATACACCCTCAAGCCATCCCTGGGTTTGCCTGAGGCAAGAGACCCTAGGTTTTCAAATTTTGCTTTGCTAATTTGGACTTCCAACCTATCTTCCCCCTCAGCCCCAGCTGGGTAGCAAATCTAGAAACCACAGCAGCGGCTTCGTCGCCGGCTCCGGATCCGTGAGGTGGCGAATCCACCCTCCATCTATTAGATGGCTCCCAGGCCAATTGTTAGAAAGAGGCAAATGTTCTCTGCTTCTAGAGTGTCTCAGGAGCAGTTGCTCAACAGCCATCCCCTCCCCCATCTGGACCACTGAAGGGCAGAAAAAAGAGTACCCTCCGCCCCATTTCTATGCCCACATGCCAGAAAGAGTCTTCCCACTGGTGACTTCCTTTATCTCTACTGTCCACCTTCCAGAGAGCGGGAAAGAGGGGCTTCAAGCGCTCAGCTCTGGAACGCAAAAGCCAAACCCTTTCTTCTGGGGGGAGGGGAGCGGGGCAGATTGGAGAGGAGGTTAGTTGTCCAGGCCTGGAGAGAGCAAAGGAGACATTTGCATTTCTCTGCAAATAAACCCCGATCTCGGACTTTCCCGTGGGCTCCAGCCCAGCTCAGAACTCTCTGCTGAACTCTTCTCTCCAACTTGGCAACTAAGACTTCCAGCTCAAAGAGCAAGTAGAGGATGGGATGGTCACCTGGCAAGAACTTTCTGTACGCCAGCATTGGGCCTGGCATGTTCCCATCCATTATCTCATTTAATTCCCACCTGTGAGGCAGGGTTTTGAAACGGAATCCCAGAGATCTGCCCAAGTTCACACAGCAAAGAGGCGGGTATTTGAATCCAGGTCAAGCTGACTGCAAAATCCTTACTTTTACCCCTGCACTTTGCTGCCTTGGAGAGTAAGGAAGCATTTAGGCTGTATTTCTACTGGTGACTTCCTTTCATCTCTACTGTAGTTTCAGTAGTCAGTTGGCCTGGGTTTAAATCTCTATTTTACTACCTGTGTGATCTTAGGCTACGTGGCTTCATTCTTAGGGCCTAAGTTTTCCCACCTGCTAAATGGGATGGTGGAGTTGTTAAAAGGATTGAAGGAAAAGCTTAGCCAGCTTGATGCCTACTTTAGTAAGTGGTCAAAAAGTGCTGTTATTGTGCCTTTTGATTCTTTTTCTTTTGCCTCTTAGCCCTGCCACAGCTCACACACTTCAGATTTGCTGACTAATTAATCAATTAAAAACACAGACTGAGAGTAGTCTAAAAACAGACTGAGCCACATAAGAGGAGAAAATTAGGGACCAATACAAGATGATCACCTTTTCCCCAACAGCTGGAAACAGCCAGAATAGTCTCCAGAAACATATATATTCAATATGTGTGTAGAAAAGTTAAAAAACAGAAGTCTTTATTCAAAAACATTTGGAGCAGAATTGTTTATAATAGTGAAAAATAGAAAGCAATCTAAATGTCCATGGTAAGGAAGTGTTCCTTGGGACCTTGACATTTCAAAACAAAACAGAAAAAAATATTGACTTCCAAAACTCATTTATGAGAAAATGTTCACTACAAAGTATTAAATAAAAAATAAAAAAAACCCTCTGGCCCTAGTGGGGTAGCTCAGTTGGTTAGAGCATAGTCCCCATATGCCAGTTGTGGGTTCAACCCTGGTCAGGGCACATACAAGATAAACAAGAGTCAACCAATGAATGCATAAATAGGTGGAACAACAAAAATCTACCTCTCTCCTCCTTCCTCTCTCTAAAATCAATAAAAAATTAAATGGTACAAAATTAAAAATAATCTCTGGGTACAAACTTGCATAAACATGATGCAAAGCTGCAAAGGTCACAAAGAGTAGAATATTAAATAGTATGTTTCTAGCCATCTATGAATATGGGTAATGAAGCAATGGTCAGGAAAACACCAAACTAGCAACAGTGTCAGTGGGGTGGTAGGATTATGCATGATTTTTTTCTCTCCTTTCTCTATGTCATACAATATTGTTTTTATAATTAAATACAAGTTTATATTTAATGAGCTACATAAACAGTATGCTCCCACTTTCATGAAAATTGTATGTGCGTACGAGAAATATTGGATGTAAATACACCAAAATGATAACAGTGATTATAATTGAGTAGTGTGATTATGGTGCTATTTTTCTTTTCTTTTTCTGCAATATGATTATTTTCTTACAATTAGTTGGTTCCATCGTGTAATGGTTAGCACTCTGGACTCTGATTATTTTCTTACAATTAAATAGATTCATAATTTGGAAAGTGGATAATCTGTACTTGTGTTAAAAGTATGTATGCAAACTGAAAAATAGTGAGAAGGAAATATATTAAAATGTTAAGTTTTTATATTAGGTGGTGAAAGTTTATGGGTAATTTTCTCTTTTGATTTTCTGTAATCTGATTTTATTACTTTTATAATGTAAATAAAATGATACACAAGTGGCATATACAGTAGGATTCCACTTTTGTGAAGATGTGTATATATATGTGCATAAATTTTAAATTATGAAAAATGTAAAAAGCAGTTCAATACTGAAATATATTTTTGAAAATAGGGCATGTCTGGGATTGCTTTTAAATATTCTGGTGAGGATGGATAGGGTTAAGTGGGTGGGGATACATATAAAATAAGATGGATATATGGCCTTCTTCATTATAATGTTTACTTGTGTATATCTGAAAAATTCCATAAATATTTTTAAAAAATATATTTTATTGATTTTTTTACAAAGAGGAAGGGAGAGAGAGTTAGAAACATCGATGAGAGAGAAGCATCAATCAGCTGCCTCCTGCACACTTCCTACCGGGGATGTGCTCGCAACCAAGGTACATGCCCTTGACCGGAATTGAACTTGGGACCCTTCAGTCCGCAGGCTGATGCTCTATCCACTGAGCCAAACCGGTTAGGGCTCCATAAATATTTTAAAATATATTTTTATTGATTTTAGAGAAGAAAGGAGAGGGAGAGCAGAAACATCAATGATGAGAGAGAATCATTGATCAGCTGCCTCCTACACATGCCCCACTGGGCACTGAGCCCGAGACCTGGGCATGTGCCCCAACCAGTAATTGAACTGCAACCTCCTGGTTCATAGGTTGATGCCTAACCATTGAGCAACGCCAGCTGGGCCATAAATATTTTT